TTAATAACTTATTTAACATCATCGTTAATCTTAAAGCACTTGGGGGATACTTACGTCAATGTATTAATAACTTATTTAACATCATCGTTAATTTTAAAGCACCTTGTGGATACTTACATCAATGTATTAATAACTTATTTAACATCATCATTAATCTTAAAGCACCTTGTGGATACTTACATCAATGTATTAATAACTTGTTTAACATCATCGTTAATTTTAAAGCACCTTGTGGATACTTACGTCAATGTATTAATATCTTATTTACTACTGTATTTCTACTCAGTGCACTTTTAGATAGTGTTGTTAGCTACAAGTTCTATTTTGTTTTCATTAAAATAATCCCACTTTTGAAATAAGTGTTGTAACATGGTCTTTCTTTGGGTATTTTGAATTATTTGGTGAAAATAACATGAAATCCAGTACACATAATAATGACATTTCCTCTAGAATGCGTTTACAGGTCATGTTCACTTATATATTGTCATAGGCTTAGGTTTACGTATAATATTTCAGTGGGAATACCTCGCTCATGATACTACTACTACTAATGTACAAATAAACTTACTTGTAGAACTCCACGGCTAATCTACAGAGCAACTGAAAAAAATGCGGTAACTAACACTGATGTGAATACTTAACTAACCTCATTAAATAATTCACTGAACTAACTCGTAATTATAACTAATATACCAACATATAGGTATTAATTGAAGTTTCTCGATCTTAACATCATGCATACACTAACTAACATCTAAATTAAAACATCGAAAACAAGCTAACAACAACATTTATATAAATGTGTTCATAACTATTAAGCATCATATTTGACCTCAAAGCAGCTTTTATATCAAAGTATTAATAACATTTATTGTCGTCTTAACCTCAGTGCACTTTGATATTTATAATGATGTACTATTACCTTGTGTAACATCAATGTCAGTCTCAAAGCACTTTCTAAATAGTTATATTAGTGTTTTAGTATCGTTTGATATGATATAGTGTATTAGTAACATCTTTCATGTCAAAGAACTATATAAACATGTATACAAATGCACCTGACCTCATTACAGTTTACCTGAATTCTCTGGAAGCTATTGGCCATCATGGCTATGAGCATGTTTAGCAGGATGATGACAATAATTACATGGTAGAAGCCCCACAGAATGTAGCCAACTCCTTCGGTGAAGCTGTGGTTTGCTGATGTGTGGTTCCCAGAAATCACTATATCAGCTGCTGTGCTTTCAGCATTTCCAAATATTGCCCAGAACATCGTTTTCAAAGTCTTCTGGATGCTGTAAAGCATGAATTTCCTTACGTTTTAATATACAAGTTGTATTATAAGGGTTGTCAGTATCTATTTCCAAAATCTTGATCATGTCAATTATATTTTGCTCCGGGTATGATGAAAGTTTACGGTACTAAATTGTTTATTTTTCATATATACATAAACATAACATTAGAAATACGTTTTAATATATTACGTATTGAGATGACATCACTGTATAGTGAGCTACTACTAAACAACAACAAATTATTGGCAGTTATTTAGATGAAACATTGTTTGGATTGTAATATTACAATTTGAAACCATTTAACATCAGTGGTGCTCGAAGGTTATTAAAACCTCCTTCGCCCCCAACAAGGAAGAATTGACCTATACATACTGGGGGGGGGGGGTCGTTAATTGATAAGTTCCAACGAGGCAGACCAGCTGTCCAAACTAGTTAATAGCAGGCAGACCAGCTGTCCAAACTAGTTAATAGCAGGCAGACCAGCTGTCCAAACTAGGTAATAGCAGGCAGACCAGCTGTCCAAACTAGGTAATAGCAGGCAGACCAGCTGTCCAAACTAGGTAATAGCAATTAATATCACAGGCAGTTACTTGCAGATATGATTGTAAAATTAAACGAGATTTAACTAAACTTCATGATCGTTTCAACACAAGCCATGAAAGTTTCAGTACGAAACGTTTGTTTGTTTTTTTTGTTTGTTTGTTTTTGAATTTCGCGCACGAAAGCGACACGAGGGCTATCTGCGCTAGCCGTCCCTAATTTAGCAGTGCAAGACTAGAGGGAAGGCAGCTAGTCATCACCACCCACCACCAACTCTTGGGCTACTGTCTTACCAACGAATAGTGGGATTGACCGTAACATTATAACGCCCCCACGGCTGAAAGGGTGAGCATGTTTGCGAGTCGAGTGCCCTAACCACCTGGCCATGCTGGGCCACGAAACGTTTAACAAAAAACGAAAATTAAAAAAAGATTAATTATACATCATACCCAGCATAACAACAAAAGTCGATAATGTCAGTAATAATTGTTAATTTGTGGTCTAATAACTTAACATGTATTAATTGAAAGCTTATTTTTTGGGGTATTTCCGGTATTACATTTTGGGCGTGGGGGGTTAAAGATATGACACGAGAAATAAAATTGTTAATTGCACCACAAAATTTCAAGGCTCTCCTTACTCAGGTTTTTTAACAATTTCAGTTTTGTCCTAATATTTTTTTTGTTTTGGCGTTATGAACAAAAAGATATAAACAAAGTAAAAATACCTTTTAAAAACTAAACTTACAAATCACACTTTTTAACTTTAAGCCCACTATTCCAAATGATTTTACCATTATTTTAAAACTGTTTACAGTTGTGTTAACTTAAAGAACGAAAAAAAACAACTTACGTTACGAATGCATCGTTTGGTGTTTTCTTCTCTCCGAGGTCATTGTAGTTTTTGTAGATGGAGTTAATAGCAGTTGCAAATGCAAATAATATGATTAGCACGATCAACAGAAATCTTAAAACATCAGAGATCATATACCGTAAGGACACACCTAAAGGTCCGAGTTTGGAGTTGATATGGTACCAAAGCAGAAGACGGCAGAAAGCTAAAAGTGACCCGAGTGCGTAGAATCCTTCCGCGATAAGAAAAGGGTGGAACGAACCCCAATCTTCACGACTTAAATACACGGAAGTTTGACTGACTTTTGACATAATGTATAACACTAGCCAAATTGATTCGGCAACCACGAATAGACTGACAGTCAGAAGATCGTAGATCGACCAGAATGATCGAAAAAATACGATTCCTTGATAATACATATCGGAGATTAGTTGCAGTGAATAACCTAAAACCCACAAACCTACAGCTGCTTCTGACCACGTCACTGGGTGGTAAAGATCGTGCTTATCGTTATATAATGAAACAAACAAAAATGTCAAGAACAATGTATAGGAAACGGCCGAATAGATGAAGCGGTTTAATGGAACTTGGATGTGTTGGGAGAAACAGCCTGTCGGAAATAAAACATAAATTAAAATCATGACGGGAGCTAACAGAGCATGCGTGAGAACATGAATTGTCCTTCGTTTGTACGACCAACTCCGCCAATCAGGTAACTCAGCTACCCAAAGTGAGCGTATAACTTGTTGACAGTGGGGATGTGCCACAAACTAGAAAAAGAAATAAAATTAAATACTTTAGTAGAATATGTACATACACATAAAGTAACAAATTAATGTCTTAAATGCAAAGAAATACATAGACAGGAAAAACCCAAGTACGGTATATCATTGATATAATGATATATTGTATCATAGATAGTTAAAGATAATTCGTCGATTAATTCAGTTTCTATTATGTGGGAAAAATTTATGGCAAATTATCCATTGACGAACTACAGTACTACGATACGTCGTCCATTGACGGACTACAGTACTACGATACGTCGTCCATTGACGGACTACAGTACTACGATACGTCGTCCATTGACGAACTACAGTACTACGATACGTCGTCCATTGACGAACTACAGTACTACGATACGT